GATTTTACTAATGTAAAGTTTCTCAACCTCGGCCCGCCATCTGTTGTGCAGAATAGCTAGAATTCTATCCTACATTGTAGATATTGGTAATAATATTCTATACCTTCGGGGAAGGAATAACAGAAAAGGTATTCATTATTCTGTCAGGGTACTCCTCTCTGATCTAGATAAATAGATAGATAGATAGTTAGATAGATAGATAGATAGATAGATAGATAGATAGATAGATAGATAGATAGAAAGATAGATAGATAGATAGATAGATAGATAGATAGATAGATAGATAGATAGATAGATTTTTAAAATGTGGTTTCCTTTATCGGAAGTCGGTCTTCAAAATGTTTTTTCCTTTTTTGTTAGTTGGTTTTCAAAATATAGTTTCCTTCATTGTTAGTTGGTTTTCAAAATGTGGTTTCCTTTATTGTTAGCTGGTTTTCAAAATGTGGTTTCCTTCATTGTTAGTTGGTTTTTAAAATGTGGTTTCCTTCATTGTTAGTTGGTTTTTAAAATGTGGTTTCCTTTATTGTTAGCTGGTTTTCAAAATGTGGTTTCCTTCATTGTTAGCTGGTTTTTAAAATGTTTTTTTATCGGTACATAATCGGTACATGATCGGTAATACCTTGGATATGAGAAGAGTTCCCATCCCAGAACCGGTTCCACCTCCTAGAGAATGCGCCAACTGAAATCCCTAGACAGACAAAACTCTAAAACTGACGTTAAATAGGTTAGAAGATTAATTTTGAAGATTAATTTTGAGGATTTGAAAGAACTGTGGGATAATTTTACATGACCCACCGGCCACCATGAAAAAGTTATATTGCCTTTTCAGCGATAAAATTGTAACCTAATCCTAATACAAAATTATGGATATATTACTGTTTTTATAATGCAGGGTTTAAAAGAAAGTGATATGCGGATTCATCCTGCTGACACAATGAAGGAAGTTCACAGAATTTGTGTCGTTTTAAGATAGAAATAGCCAGATTTACCTGGAGACAATCGCAACCCTCTGACTCTCGTCGAACCACATCCAGGACAGATTCAACAAGTTCAGCTCCTAAACATTTCAGGGTTCAGAACCTACAGAACCTTTCAATATATATAAGTAAACTCATAACATTGTGGATTAGGAAGACGACTGACTGTTAGACTCAAGTTATGATTTGAAAAAGTCCAATGAAAAGGAGACACAGCAATTGTACAATGTACATGCGAACTCATTTCTCCTACGAAGTTAATAAACTACTGATAAACATAAAAAGTTTAAGTAAAAGAGATGCTTTGTATTGTGTTTATGTTTTGTGGATTACAGAAGAGTCCAGGGACAGGATAAGGTATCCAAGCCAAACCAAACTATTTGCAGACAAAGCGGAGTTGGAACTGATCGGCGCGGTTCTCAGTTTGATATTATTTCATTTTTGTCAATGTCACACTGTTGATTCATATTTTCAGAAGCCTAGTTTCTCGCGCGGACGTATTTAGATCTTGTTATTCAACTCCCGGTTCATTTCAGAATTAAATGATATATGCTTGAGTTCTACTGTCTACAAGTTGTTCAGAGGACGGAGGTTCACTACGGTAAGAACCTATTGAATGAGAACGGGGTTTTCATGATCTTTGGTGAACATAAGAGGGGTCCCGATGGACGTGGGTTGTAATTTCTGTATATATGTTTTTTTAAGCAGTAACGGTGATGATTTTTAATATTATAACATATTTTTTATTTTTCAAGTTATGAACTTTTCACTGGCATTGCAGCTAAATGACAATCGACTTCATCTAATTGCAGTCCGCCGGGAGTTACGAGACCTGTTTCACCGTTGGACGTTTATGTTGGACGTTTTATATTTCTTGGAATACTCTTTATTTTTCTCCTTCGTCGATTGTTGACGAAACAGTTTATACTTGCTTGTCTGCAACATTTGATACTAAATAAAAAATAAACTAAAAAATCAAGAAAAAGGTAAACTTGAAAATTCAGCATAAATTCATTTTAAAACAACTGAAAATATTTCTAATTCCTGTCTGCCTAAATTTGAAACTTGTTTCCGTTCAACGAAACATGCATTTGATGCATTTTTTATATCTCTGAAAAGAGTCTAAACTTTCAACATAAAACCTTGGCAAAAAATACTTCAAATAATTAGAGAATAACATAAGTTCTAAGAACATAAAATAGAAAGTTAGAAATTATATTTCAAGCTTAAAGTTGCAAAAAGTAATCTAAACGTTTAAAACAAATAATAAAAAAAGCAAACTCATTTTATTTACAGAGTCAAATTATTGAAATTATCAAAGAGAATCTGTGGGCCAAAATCAAAGAGAACCTGTGGGCCAAAATCAAAGAGAACCTGTGGGCCAAAATCAAAGAGAACCTGTGGGCCAAAATCAAAGAGAACCTGTGGGCCAAAATCAAAGAGAACCTGTGGGCCAAAATCAAAGAGAACCTGTGGGCCAAAATCAAAGAGAACCTGTGGGCCAAAATCAAAGAGAACCTGTGGGCCAAAATCAAAGAGAACCTGTGGGCCAAAATCAAAGAGAACCTGTGGGCCAAAATCAAAGAGAACCTGTGGGCCAAAATCAAAGAGAACCGATGGGCCAAAATCAAAGAGAACCTGTGGGCCAAAATCAAAGAGAACCTGTGGGCCAAAATCAAACAGAACCTGTGGGCCAAAATCAAACAAAACCTGTTGGCCAAAATCTCTTGAGATGACGGGATTAGTTTCAAGATTTTACTAATGTAAAGTTTCCAAAGATAGGATTAAACAAGTAGTTTAGGGATATTGGAAAATAAATATCAAAACAGAATATTCAATTAAATTAAAATACAAAAAGGAAAAGAAAAATTACCCTCAGTGTAGTGTCCTTTAGCCCAATTATTTCCTGCGCCATTTTGTCCAAAAACAAAATTATCAGGACGGAATATTCGTCCTATAGCTCCAGACCTAAAACAATATACTTTAAATATTGTTCATTTATTATCAGATTTATCTGATTATTCATCAGAAAAAAATCTAAGTTTAACTTTAAATATTTTTTGTAATAAGCATACTATGTAAATGTAATGTATGTATGTAGGTGAACAATTATATTAGTGTACGTTTATATAATTGTAAAGTTATGTAAGGGGGTGTACCTATGTGATTGTGAACTGTTGAATATATGTGAGGTTATGTAAATGTTCAGTATTTGATTAAATGCACGGTTATATGTACCTGACAGAATCCATGGTTCCAGGTTCTAGATCCACAAGCACAGCTCGGGGTACATACTTTCCTGAAAATGTACTGCAGAATAGTGTACAATGTACCGTAATTACATATAACTAGTGTCTGCCAGAGAATCCTGCTTAAAGAGACTCCCTAGATTCACGCACCCCTGACCCTTTAGTAAAAGTAAATTCTGACCGCGTCAACCTTGTTGCACCGGCAAGTCCTATTGAGTGTCTTCTTTATTCAACCAATGTCCGGGCGATACAGTACAAACTGGGACCGGAAATGTTGACCCGGCTCGGAAATTCAAATGTGCTACGGATGCCCGTGGATTTTACGTTTAATGGAAATGTTTAAGAATTAATACTTTTTGGGATCTTGTAAAATTAACTTTCAGAAATTCAGAGGAACCTTCCAAAAATTCCATTTTAAATCTTGAAATACTTATGTTCAAAGGTTTTTAAAGATATATTTGTTTGTTTGTAACAAATCTAGACGCTACTTCTCTAACGATTACTTAATTCAAAGTCTAATGAGATTCTCTCTAACTAAATCTCTAGCCAAAACTCAAGGCTCTGTATACGTCCGTTCTGATCAACTAATGATATTCAACTACTTTATTTATAAACAGGTAAAATGAACTGACCGGGCTAGCCCGGCTGGGTCAACATACAAAATAGTTAAGATAATAATATTATGAATACAGATAATAAATTAGAATTGCACATCATGGTAGAATATACTTCATGTTTATAATTTACTCTTTTAAAAAAAAAGCAGCATGCCAGATTCACAACGGTATCCTTTAATTTCAATAATGTTGAAGATAACGTTGTTTATCTAGTTTGAAACTTTCTTTTTTTCTGACAATAACCTCCGTTGTTTCTTTGTAATAGAAATGCGCAAACCTTACCACAATTAAAAATAATTTACATATATTCAAAGTTAAAGACATTGAGATCTTAAACATCCATTCTTGATAATACACATCTTTTTAGGTTAAGGTTTTGAAACGGACATACAGACAATTTAAGATTGAAGGGTCACTTTATATTCTGCCTACAGCCTCTTTAAGGTTTTGAAACGGACATACAGACACTTTAAAATTGAAGGGTAACTTTATGTTATGTCTGCAGTCCCTTTCAGGGCAAAGCATTGAAATTGTACAAACCTCCTGAAGCCTCATTGTAGTAAACATCAATCCTCTCAAGCTGTTGGATTAAATCCCCCCTAAACATTTAAGGTTTATAAACATCAATCCTCTCAAGCTGTTAGATTTAATCCCCCTAAACAGTTGAGGTTTATAAACATCAATCCTCTCAAGCTGTTGGATTAAATCCCCCGTAAACATTTAAGGTTTATAAACATCAATCCTCTCAAGCTGTTAGATTTAATCCCCCTAAACAGTTGAGGTTTATAAACATCAATCCTCTCAAGCTGTTGGATTAAATTCCCCGTAAACATTTAAGGTTTATAAACATCAATCCTCTCAAGCTGTTGGATTAAATCCCCTGTAAACATTTAAGGTTTATGAACATCAATCCTCTCAAGCTGTTGGATTAAATCCCCCATAAATATTCAAGGTTTATAAACATCAATCTTCTCAAGCTGTTGGATTAAATCCCCCGTAAACATTTAAGGTTTATGAACATCAATCCTCTCAAGCTGTTGGATTAAATCCCCCGTAAACATTTAAGGTTTATGAACATCAATCCATTCAAGCTGTTGGATTAAATCCCCCGTAAACATTCAAGGTTTATGAACATCAATCCTCTCAAACTGTTGGATTGAATCCCCTCTAAACATTTAAGGTTTATGAACATCAACCCTCTCAAGCTGTTGGATTAAATCCCCCGTAAACATTTAAGGTTTATAAACATCAATCCTCTCAAGCTGTTGGATTAAATCCCCCGTAAACATTCAAGGTTTATGAACATCAATCCTCTTAAGCTGTTGGATTAAATCCCCCGTAAACATTTAAGGTTTATGAACATCAATCCTCTCAAGCTGTTGGATTAAATCCCCTCTAAACATTCAAGGTTTATAAAACGTAATCCTCTCAAGCTGTTGGATTAAATCCTCTCTAATATTTAAGGTGCATACAGAGATAAATGCGTCTTCAAGATTTCTTATTAAAACACTTCCTGAGATTTATCTACGTATTCGCCTCAAGATCTACTTTTCTGTTTAAAAAAAAAATTAAGGCATGGTGTCGTAGGCCGTTGATATTATATTTCAAAGTTTGGAATATCAAAGGTTTACACCACCAGATTGCAGAAATAGAGGATCCAGTAAATTGGAAGTTGAGACGAGTAATCAGTTCTTTAATTGTTTGGCTTTAAATCTTTAAATTTACTAACAATAACGATCAAAATGACAAATTTTACGTAAAATTCTGAAGTTATTTTAAAATATTAAAGTGACCAAAATATTCGATTTTCCAAGATGAGTTATTTAAACTATCGTGAACGATCCCTTTAAAATCTTACTTGTATTCTCCATCCATATCAATCCCATGCTCTGAGCTGATTACCTAAATATTTTTAATAAAAGAGAATGTTCACAATTCTTTTTTGAAATTTTAATTAGATAAATTAAACTTTTTTCTCCGAAAAATGAAAACCTTTCAGATATCCTATAAACACTAACTTCAAATAAAAAATCAGTACAACATGTCCTTACAAAACCTTTAATTCAACTCAAAACAATGCATGAGAGTTATATTGGCAACATTGCAAAGAAACTGATTGCTTGTCTGTATATTTTTTCTAAACTGTTTATCTTCGCAACCTGGTATGATAAACACCAATTTGTTTTCAAACTATCAATTCTGCTAATTCAAATATACAGAGTTTGAAATATCAAAGGTTTATACCATCAGGTTGCAAATATATACAGATTATAAAAAAAGAGTGTGTGAGACGAGTAATCATCAAGTCATTTCAAATTAAATGTCCAGTCCCTTTAAGTCAAAAATAGTAAATGTTGGGTGTAAAGAAGAAAGTTGAACAGCTTTGTAATATAACTTTGTAGTAAACAATGTGAAGAATTTAAACTTTAATAAACTTGTTGAGTTCTCACTGTTTTATGTATTTTCTAGATAGTTCAACAATTTTTACAAACAATCTTTAATTTCTTTATGTAAGTTTGATTAAAAACATGTGGAAAATTATATCAGTTTTTTTATCATAAGGTTTATTGAAAATAGAACATTAAAGCTGCAATTTTTTTAGTATCTTCATAACCTAGGCAAATTCAAACAATTCTGTACTTATTGAACTTCAGTTAAGTAATGCATGGACTGAAAATTGTTAAGAACATTGTTTCGTAATACTTTGAAGAAAGTATAGTTTTATCCAACCAAGCAGCTCGATCGAAAACTTAAAAAAAATGAAAAGTGTGAATGATGCCATGATGTCTAACTGTTAATTGTGTGCTTGTGTCTCTCCCAGTTTCACTGAATAATGTATAGTTGGCTGAACAGTAAAAAAAAACATACAAATGATGAATAAAACTTAATTTCCCCTGAAAGAACAAATACTTTATAAAAACTTACTTATATTAAAGGGACTGAGGCGCTGTCAGAGCATCTTAAAAATGTAAAATGGAGCGAGGATTTAAGCCAGAAATCAGCTGAAGAGTCGTGGAACTAGATGAAGGGTAAAATACATGCAGGTATGGACCTTTTCATTCCTAAAATCCACAGACGTCAAGCTAACAAACCAAAATGGATGACCAAAAAAGTTATGAGATTAATCAGGACCAAACAAAGACGATACAATTTGTATATGCAGACCAGAACACCGGAGAATGAAAATAGTTTTATTAAAGCTCAGAAGGAATGTAAAAAAGCAGTACGAGGGGCCAAAAGAAGATTTGAACAGCTGATTGCAACAAATGGAAATAAAAGGCCTTTTAACTCTTATATTACCAGTAGAACAAAAAACCGAACAGGAGTTGGACCGCTTAAAGTTGACAACAAAATTATAAGTGACTACAAACAGATTGCTACAGTTTTAAACAAATCATTTTGTAGTGTTTTTACCAAAGAGGACACCAGCAATATCCCAAATTGCCCCCCACTTTCTAACAGCTTCATCAGGGATATATTTTTTGAACAAACCGAAGTTAAAGAGCAAATATTAAAACTTAAACCAGGTACAGCCCAGGGACCTGACAATATTCCAGCTAGAATACTAAAGGACAATGTTGATCACTTGTCACTACCCCTGTCCATCATTTTCAATAAATCTATGAGTACGGGAGAGGTTCCCGGAGACTGGAAATTAGCCAATGTTACTCCAATTTACAAAAAAGGCTCTAAAAATAAACCAGAAAACTACAGACCAATTTCTCTTACTTCCATTTCTTGTAAATTAATGGAGTCCATTATTCGAGACCGAGTTAATTCTCACTTGACCAGGAATCTTCTTATAAACTCCTCTCAGCATGGCTTCATGAAAAGCAAGTCCTGTACCACTAACTTGCTGGAATTCCTTGAAAAAATAACCACCATACTTGATGAAGGAGATCCTGCAGATGTAATTTACCTGGATTTTAGTAAAGCTTTTGATAAAGTTCCGAGAATGAGATTACTTGCTAAAATCAAAGCTCATGGAATTGACGACAGGGTCTTGAACTGGTTTTCCGAATGGTTAAATAATAGGAAACAAAGAACTGTCCTTAATGGAAGTTATTCTGAATGGAGCGAAGTTGAATCTGGAGTCCCCCAGGGGTCGGTGCTCGGCCCCCTGGCTTTCATAATTTATATAAATGACATTGACTGGACTGCTGAACTAATAAGTATATTGAAGAAATTTGCTGACGACACCAAACTGGGTCACAGAGTCAGAAATGATGGAGATAGGAGAACTTTACAAGAATGCTTAAACAAACTAATTGGTTGGGCGGACACATGGTGCATGGATTTTAATGTTCTAAAATGCAAAGTCCTACATCTAGGCAGACAGAACAAAAAATTTGAATATACAATGAATGGTTTGGTGCTGGAATCTGTCGATAAAGAGCGAGATATTGGCGTTGTAGTGGAAAAGTCCTTAAAACCTTCTCTACAGTGTGCAGAGGCAGCTCGGAGAGCTACTGGAGTTCTTACTCAAATAACTAAGGCATTCTTGTATCGTGATAGAGTGACATTTCTTAGACTTTACACACAATTTGTGAGGTGTCACCTTGAGTTTGCGGTTACTACCTGGTCCCCATGGACAGTTGGAGATAGGGACACCCTGGAGAAAGTTCAGATTAAAGCAATTAATCTAATAACAGGACTCAAGGGTAAAACATACATGAAAAAACTACAAGAACTTGGTATCCAGTCACTGGAACAGAGGAGAGTTAGATTTGATCTTATTCAAACATTTAAAATACTCAGAGGTTATGATAAAGTAGAGAAGGGGACTTGGTTTACCTTGGTCGGCTCAGATGTTGCAAGACAGAGAAGAATGACATCTTACAAGGATAACTTGGTACCAAAGCATTCTAGGACAGATCTTCGACGCAACTTCTACTCAAACCGGGTGGTAAACCTTTGGAACAATTTACCTACTGAAATCAAGGATGCAAAATCTCTGAATATCTTTAAATCTCTACTTGACGCCCATCTTTAACACCTTGAACTACTATGCCAGGATTAGTGTGGAAGAGGTTACACAAGGAGGACGTAAATTTAGAGGACTTGATCACTTCTCCGAGAGGACCTAACTGAAATTCCCGTTATGCTTCTACCTGGAGTCCTGGGGATAACTCATCAAGTATTCCAAGTAAGTAAGACTGTAAGCGTCATTTCATGTAATCCTTTATGTGTGGCAATACCTCATTAAAAACTGTATTCCTGAAACCTTTGCGTTCGTCTAGTACTTTACAGAGATATGTTTGTGTAAACTTATCGAAACCCGCTTGTATTCAGCTGCAGTTTCTAGAGTGCGCAAATTTTTTAAGGGTACCATTTAAATATGGAGGTTCATTTGAAATTATGCTTTCAGTCCCAATTTAAAACGAATCAAAATTTGGGGCAAATCGGACCAGTATTTATGCTCGGACGTCCAAAATAACAAAGAGAGATTACTACTTTATATATAAATTATGCAAGATTTTTTTTAGGAATTTTTTTATTTTTGTGCTTTAGTTGCTTACATTTATATATATATAACTCTTAAATATACGTTTTTATATATATATATAAATGTATATACAAAAGTTAGAAGAATCAGCGATGTGTAAAATTGAGCATATTTCTTATTCTTCTGATACATTAGAATACACAAATTGAACCATTTTTCCACAGACAGCAGATTTGTCAAATATTATTATTGTATTAGCTTCAAAACAACAATAAAAACAAGATCGAGATTAAAAGATAAAGATAAAAAGTAACAGTTATAAATCAAGGACTATAACAAAAACAGAAATCTGAAGAAGAAAAAATATAAAAAAACAATGCAGTAAACGTAGTGACAATAACAACATTAATGTAGCAAATATCAGGTAACATGAAATTCTGCAAACCTGCAGTACGTTGTATATTATTAACAATCTATGTTTGTAAACTTATTCAGTACATACCACCATTATTCATTGAAATTGCGTTTCAATTGAATACATATTAGATTAAATAATGGGATATATAATGATCTACATCTTGCGCCTATTTTAACTGTGCTGTAATACGTAACGTTATTGCCTTAATCATGTGATAAAATGTAGGAATTGTAATTACGTCTATTAATTTAACTTGTAACATACAAACCGAAAATACACTATAGTTGATATAGAAACTCCAACTTGATTACAGCGTAGAGTAATTGCGTCCTTGTTGAAACATACGGGCTGAGATCATACCTCGGTATCTGGTACAGATCAATTAAGAGCTTGTTTGATAGCAACGCTTGTGTTCTTGTGTAACATTTAGAGCTCGATTAATAGCTTGTTTGATTATAGCTAAGCTTGTGTCCCTGTGTGGCATTTAAAGCTCAATTAATAGCTTGTTGATAGCTACGCTTGTGTCTCTGTGTGGCATTAAGAGCTCGATAATAGCTAACCAATAGCTAACGAGATCGCGCCCAGTAGGAGTGGCGTTGATGTATCACGGGAATGATAGTTAAGAGAATCTGAATTGCACCAGTATAGATACGTTTCGAGAAATTGTTATGGAGTAGGCGTTTACAACATTGAAACATCAGAAAAAACGCAAAAAGATAAGAAAAGAGAATGATCGAGATTATTAACAAAATCTAGAGCAAGATGTAAAGAATAACAAGTTTTGGAACTATAAATGCAAGATTTTAATATACATAAAAACAAGGATCGGAACTAGAGCAAGACTGATGTAAAAAAGAACAAGAATCGGAACTAATGAGCAAGAATGATAAAAAGAACAAGAATCGGAACTAGAGCTAGAATTATAAACAAGACCAAGAATCGTAACTAGAGCAAGAATGATATAAACAAGACCAAGAATCGTAACTACAGCAAGAATGATATAAACAAGACCAAGAATCGTAACTACAGCAAGAATGATGTAAAGACGTAGAATAATCGGACTAGAGCATATAAAGAAGAACAAGAAGTGGAACTTTACAAGAATGCTATTAAAAAAGAAACATAATCGGAATTAGAGCAAGAGTGATATTTAAAAAAGCAAGAAACGGGGCTTAAAGAAGGAACAGAATGGGAACTAGAGGTGCGAGAATGATATGAAAACAAAATCAAAAGATGAGAAGAAAAAATTAAAAAGATTTTTACCTCCCAGAATTTTGACCCGATCTGGTTACCACACTGCCCAGCCTGAAGATGAACGATTTCGCGCATTTTAGATTTTAGATTTTTCTTGAATAAATCCACCGAAATAACTTGTTAAATGATTTTAACTGATCAGCCCTACACTCTGTGCCTCAATGCATTGGCCTCATTTCTTATAGTTGCTCACAACGCAGGGACTAAAATACTCTACTCTAATTTTTAAATTTAATAAAATCACAATATATTGTAAATACTATATTTTTAATTACAAATGATTATCGGAATATAATAAGTAATGAATTTCCACCCCTGTGACGATCAGCTGATTAGAAAGCAGGGTGTGTTGGCCGGCCGGGGCCGGGTACTCAAGCCAAAAAATAGAAAATGCTCTAAAGTAAAGAATCGGGAAATCAGCGTGGGGAAAGCCCTTCATATACTAATCACTAAAATATTTCTTCCTTGAAGTCTGTACTGTAAAAAAAATAACTATACTATCCTTGGTTTAAAGGATAGATAGTTGCAAATATTGAAGATGAATAAAACCATCCTTCCATTACTACCCTTGGTTTAATATTCTTGGAAAGAAAGATATGTAGAAAAAAAAGTGGAGACGAATATAACCATCCTTCCATTAATATCCTTATTTTAGAGGATAGATAGATGAAAAGAGTGGAGACGAATATAACCATCCTTCATTTAATATCCTTTGTTTAAAGGATAGATAGATAAAAATATTGAAGATAAATGTAACCATCCTTCCTTTAGTGTCCTTGGTTTAAAGGATAGATATTAAAAGATTGAAGACGAATGTAACTCTCTTTTCTTTAATATTCTTGGAAAAAACGTTAGATAGTTAAAATCAAATAGATTCTATTTGGATAAAATATTGAAGACGAATATAACCATTCTTCCTTTGATGTTTTTGGTTAAAAAGCTAGATAAATCAAAAGATTAAAGAAAAATAAAACCATCCTTTCTTACTATCCTTGGTTTAACGGACAGACAGATGAAAAGATTGAAGACGATTATAACCATCTTTTGCTTACTGTCGTTGGATTAAAGGATAGATAGATAAAATGAAAGAAGACAAATAAAACCATCCTTCCATTAATATCCTTGGTTTAAAGGATAGATAAATAAAAAGGTTGAAGACGAATATAACCATCCTTCAATTACTATCGTTGGTTAAAAGGATAGATAGATATAAAGATTGAAGACGAATACTTCCATCTTGTTTTATCTACTGTAAGGCTATTATATTTTCTTGTTTGGCAGCAAAGTGTAATATAATAAACCTTGCTTTCCCCTCCCCTTTCTTGTCCCTTCCCTTCCCCTCCCCTTTCTTGTCCCTTCCCCTCCCCTTTTTAGTTCCTTCCCTTCCCCTCCCCTTTCTTGTCCTTTCCCTTCCCCTCCCCTTTTTAGTTCCTTTCCTTCCCCTCCCCTTTTCAGTTACTCTTCTTTTCCTTCCCTTTCCAGTTCCTTTCCTTACCCTACCCTTTCCATTTACTTTCCTTCCCCTTCCCTTTCCAGTTACTTTTCTTTCCCTCCCCTTTCCAGTTACTTCTTTTACCCTCCCCTTTCCATTTACTTTCCTTCTGCTCCCCTTTGCAGTTCCTTTCCTTCCCCTCCCATTTCAATTTCCTTTCCTTTCCCTCCCCTTTCCATTTACTTTCCTTTCCTTCTCTCTCCTATTTTTCATTCCCCCTCACCTGTTCTCTTTCCTTACTTGCCATGTCATTTCTTCCATAAAATTAACTCTTATTTCTCAACTTCTTCCTTTTCCATTGCTCCCTTCCCTTCCCTTTCAATATTTTTCGTTATTTCTTTTTCATACCACATACTAACTACCCCCAATTCTGTAAATCTTTTCCTTATTTTCATTTCTTCCTTTTCCTTCCTTTCCAAGATTTTCTTCCATCTTCTCCCTTTCCCAGGTATCCTGCTCCGACCCCCCCCCCCTCTCCCTCCCTCCAATACAGATATTACTGGTGTACCATACCCAGTAGACATCTCAAGCTAGACTTCTATATTTGTTTATCTGTCTAACTATTTAACTAGACATCTCAAGCTAGACTTCTATATTTGTTTATCTGTCCAACTATTTAACTTTATAAACTCTCTGCTTTGTTTTACTTTGCCTCTACTTTTCTTAAATAAATAAAGAAAAATAAAAGTTTTGCTTTCTTGCAATTAGAAACACAAAGGAGACAAAATTCTGGGGTTCTGGCCTCAGAAAACTTTTCATTAAAACTTCCAGCATAATTTTAATTGCTTGTTTTTATTTTATTAAACCTGATATTTAATCGTTTTTTTTTCGTTTATTACCCTTTAGATTTATCAAAAATCACTCAGTGTTTGCTCTCAGTTCATTTCTTAATTGTTGATCAGACAAAGCTTCTAAGGATGCGCAGACAAAAAAAATTGTGATTGAAAGTCATAGTTTGCTGGGACAGTTACTGTTAAAACTGAATGGTGTATTTATCGAACTTTATTCCTTTGTGGGTAGCTCTGTATCTACATTCTACACAGAGTCAAAGTTTAGATTTGAATTTGTCTCCTGTCTCTCTCTCTGATGTCTAAAATCTAAAATTTGGAAATGTAAAATATATTTTTAAAATAGGAATACAAACAAATACAGGCATATTATAATGGGATAATAACTAGGTTAAATTGTATATATTTCATATTTATAACTATATATCTAGGGTGTTGTAATAACAGGGGGACTAAGGTTTTTGGGTCCTTTTTATACACTTAAAAATTTTAAATTTGGTTCTCTGTTTTCTTGATTTTTTTATTCTTTTACTCGAAGGGGATAAACTTGCAACAGATGAGCTACAGTTTGGGTTTCAAGCTAAATCTAGCACATCTATGTGTACTTAAGCGATAAAGACTGTAATAGATGATTATAATAGACTAGACAGGCCAATGTTTGCCTGTTCAATGGACCTAAGTAAAGCATTTGACATGGTTTCTTGGGCTAAACTATTTTCTGAACTTTTGAAAAGAAAAATATCACCCATTAAGATGCTTAATGCATACTAACTCAAATCAAATGTGTAATGTGAGAAAGGGGGAACATTATTTCACAACCTTTTAATGTGAAAAATGGTGTACGCCAGGGTACAGTATCCTCGCATTGTTTTGTGTTTTTATAAATGATCTCAATGTTTAATTTAGGCATATGAAAGTTGGTTGTTAACTAAATTACGTATACCATAGGAGTCTGGGTTTTTGCGGATGACATTATATTATTATCTCCGAGTCTATCTGGACTACAGTTAATCACTAATGTTTGTGAACAAGTTTGCTAGTCTACATCAGTTAAAATTTAGCACAAATGTAGATGTTTCCAAATCAAAAACAAAATATATAGTTTTCAGTAACCCTGTCATGAATACTGATAATAATTTACCCTTACCCTATGTAAGTGAAATTAAACATCTGGGCAGCACACTACAGTCTTATGGTTCTATGACAAAAGATGTTAGCTGTGCTAAATTTATTTCTAAAATACATTCTCTTAATCAAGAATTTCATTATGCAATACATCCATGTATTAAGATTGTATGATATATATACTTGTGATTTCTATGCTCAAATCTCTGGGATTTATACAGAGTAGGGATGTTCAAAACCTCCTGAATTCAGGGAACATTGCTATTCGCAAGAGAAACCCATAGATATTTCATTGAGCCCATTTCTAATGTTTCTTATATTAAAACAGTTTTATGCACAATAGTTTTTTACAATTTGTGACCAGCTTATCAAAATGTCCTTAAGCTATGTTTCGACTTTTAGTAGATCTAAGTAAACATGATTTAAGAACTGTTTTATGCAAAAATCTTGAATCAATTGCACAAGATTGTAATGTATAATCTAGATATCCAAACAAATTTAGTTTGAAACAAAATGGTATATACAATCATATTCCTTTAGACCAGGAGTTCTTCATTAATTACTAAAAGTGAAAGATGACAATTTTGTTCTAAACAATGGAACAGAGTTTTTTTCACAAACTCTACTTTTCTAATCTCTATATCTTTGCAACTCAATGTCGTAGACCTTTGATATTTCAAACTATGAATTCCGTTAGACCAAATAATGTAAGTTTGAAATATCAAAGGTTTACATCATCAGATTGTAAAGATATAGGGATTAGACAATTTGAGTTTGTGACAAAACTCAGTTCCTTTGTTGATAATGAGATCGCAACCATGATTAACTTTTTATGTTTCGACTAGAAACTATATTTATATATTCCATACTTTATTCTTGTTTTTATATTATCATTATATTCTACCATTTTACCTTTGTGTACGAAATAAATCTATAATAATGATAGCCTCTGCCGTGTTCTTTTAGTATCCGAGGATTGAATTTTGATAATTTTGATAATTCACATAATAGTTTCCTATGACCAGAATATTTCATTGATTATTTATGTGAAAGATAGATCCCATGTCAGGCTTCGACATCCGTCTTGTGTTTACATTACCGCCAGTGACAGTACACTGCAGTACAAAAGATGCGTACACCTCTGAAATAGCTTTCCTTGCATTACATCCTTGAAGATTTGTATATGTGTATTTAAAGTACGTTTACCAAGGAAAGGATGATAAATTATCTAAAAATGCCGCAATATAAATAAAAAAATTGTATAGCCTACAATCTGAATAAAAACATGCGTTAATAAATTAAAATGATTTTCATAATTTAGTGTCTTTTGGACATCTTAAACTCAGTATATAAATCTATAAACAAAAAATAGGAACTGTGAAATGAGATATATAAAAATTAAAATATTAAATTGTATCGTAAAAAAAAGATTCGATAAAAAAGCAGATCATTTAGATATAAAACCTTGACATTTTAAATGAATTTTATAATAAATTTAAAAGATCGACCCTTAAAATTTAAATAATTGGTCACATCAATACTTTAAAAACCCCCCTCCCCCCCCCCCCCTGCTTTACAAGACATGGATTAAGCGTTTTACAGATGTTGTTATAGATAACCCTTGTCCTTTATCTGTGAATATATATATGCCCAATACCCCTCATTACTGATTTTCTATAATCCATTATACAAGAGAAAACACACTCAAAACACACCGCAAAGCACTTTAAACATAAGATAAACATTCAAAACACACCGCAGAGCACTTTAAA